GTATAGGGATTAGAATGGGGATTCTTCACTCTGTACTATTGACATTTGTGGTTGGTAATTCATTGTGGAGGCTGGGGGCTGTCTGATTTTATTGTAGGAGGTATAGAGCTTCTACCCAGTAACAAAGCAATAGTAACTCCCATCCCACCACCTCCCTGCATTTACGACAATCAAAAATGTCTCTAGAGGGAAGAATAGAAGTTCATTGGATTAGATAAAGGGAAATGAAGGGAAGGGCGGGTGGATGGGAATACGAAAGACAGTAGAATGAATAGAACATAACTTTCCTTTGCTCATATATGAACGTACAACCAGTGCAGCTCCACATTGTGTACCACCACAAGAATGGGATCCTAATTGGAATGGGTCGTACTCCATGTATGTATAATATGTCAAAATACACTCTACTGTCATGTATCTAAAAATAACAAATTAAAAAAAAATGTCTCTAGATATAGCCAAACATCCCTTGGAGGCAAAACTATCTTTTCCCATTAAAAATCACTTTCTAGACTATGCATACTTCCAATAGCTAGTAACCCAATCCACCTGTTAGGACTATCATTGATCTTTTCTTAGGCATAGCTACAAAACAAAACAAAACAAAACTGTTCACAAATAACACCAAAACAGTCCCACATCAGGAATTAGATATGCAGAATAACTAAAATAAGATAGGAAATGATGGGGAAAGTAGAGAAGGATAATATTTCCTAAAATTTAGAGTTTTTAGATGAATCCTATGTTAAAACAGTTACAGAAAAATTGAACCTTCAATAGGAATTGTATGACTTTTAAAAAGTCATATATAAAGGCTTTTTTTTTTAACCTGGATGCTCATCAAAGTATTATTTGAAGCAGTGAAAAATATAAATGAATTAGTTGTTTGACAGTGAGAGACAACTAATTTATTATTTGTTGATTTCACAGAATATTAGGCAGTGGCAAGATGACATAATTGTGAATTATTAATAGCATGGGGAAATATTTGCAAAATAATGCTAAGAAAAAAGCAAGCCATTATGTGTATAGTACAGCAATCAAGTTTTCAAGGATATATATGCATAGAGAAAGGATCATGAAAACATTAATAGTGACTATGGGATTATGATATGAGAATTATTTATAATTTAAAGTCTTCATACTTTTTTATAAGTTGTGGTTTGCATCTGAACTGTCCCTCAGAGGCCGTGAGTGAAAAGGCCTGGTTGTCAGCTTGTGGTGGTATTGAAGGTAAGGCCTGTTGGAGGATGTTGGGGGCTGGGAGTGTGCCCTTGTAGGGGCTATTGGGACACTGCTCCCCTTCTCTCTTTCCCCATTCCCCTCCACTCCCCCATCTCTTCCTCTCTTGGCACCATGAGGTGAGCAGCCCTGCTCCACCAGATAGTCCCCACCATGACATTCTGCTTTACCACAGGCTCAGAAACAATGGAGTCAAACAAATGACCATGGACTGAGACCCCTGAAGTTGTGAGTCCAAAATGCCGCAGTCTGGCTGGGCACAATTCAGGAGCCACTTACCAAAAGAAAGGAACTTTATTTTTAGAACCACACACACCAAACAAAACAGCTCCTCAGGAAAAACCCTCAGAGCCCAACTGCCACCACGGGCTTCCCACAAGCCTCTCAACCTCCCCCACTCCTCCTGCTCTTCAGGCCGATTGGCTGGGTCGCGTGGGCGGAGCCAAAAAAAGTCCCCCAATGAGCAGCTCCATAGTCTGAAAGGGCAGGGAAACAGCCCAATGAGCATCACCACAGAGGAGCCAATCAGCTAGAAGTTGCTGGGTCGCTGTGAGCCAATCATCAGCTGGCAGTCTGAAAGTTTGCTGGGGCCCCTTAGGCTGTGGCTCTCAACAAAAATAAACCTTTCTATTAAATTGTTTTAATCAGACATTTAATCACAGCAAATGGAAAGCTGACATACACGTTTCCAAAATTTTCTTAATCAGCTCATATTCTCGTGTGTGTCTGTGTGTCTGTGTGTGAGTGTGCGTGTGTGTGTGTGTGAGAGAGAGAGAGAGAGAGAGAGATGATTCTAGAAAAAATGACCCATATTTGGTTAAGTAAGAGAGTAGTGGCAAGGGTTCTTCACTTGTTTACAGAAGAGTACACCAGTGAGGTAGGATACTTTAGAGAGGGAACACGAGGAAAGATGACAATATTTGTAGACTGGGTCACTTGCTTTCCTTAGGGGAAAAAAGTCTGTACATAATTTTTCATAAAATAAGAGTGGTTTTTTTTTTTTTTTTTAATATTCTGGCTACATCCTGTCCCTCCAAACCAGTGGTTCTCAGTCTTTAGAATGCTGAGGAGTCCCCTTGGGTTTACCCGTTAAAGTTTCCTGGGCTCCAACTCCTGAGATTCTGATTCTGCACATCAGCTATGGGGGCTCAGGAGTTTCCATTTTTAACAAGCTCCTCTAGGGACCCAATCTGACACAGGTGGTCCCTGGACCACATTTTTAGAAACACTGCTATAATCAGCCATGTGGCTTGATTTGGATATTTTTATGTCTCTATGTTCAACAATTTCTTCCTGGTTATGCACTAAAAAGAACTCCAGTGGTTATGCTGGTAAATTGACTCTTTGAAATAATGATCTATTTATTGCATTTGCCAATCTCTGTGTTGTAAATATCCCCACCGTGGCCCATTTCAAGCTACAATGGTTTAACAACTAGTTCAGAAAACTCTTGGAAGTTTAACAATTGGCTGGCACTATATAGATATAGATATAGATATAGATATAGATATAGATATAGATATAGATATATAGATATAGATATATATATAGATAGATATATAGATAGATATAGATAGATATAGATATTTTTAAAAAGTATGCTAATAATAAACTATTATTTTACCTATGACAACTGGGATGGAACAAATAAGCAATAGAATAGCTTGAGTTGTTCAAGAAAACCACTTTCCAATGTATTAGGAAAAAAAAAAGTGCGATAATAGCTTTTATCACTCTTTCCTATTTGATTCTATTTTTCCATTACCATACCATGAAGAGTGATACACTCAGTGAGTTCTTTGAGAGTTGTGAATTGCTTTCCTATGGATGATGGAGAGCCAAGGAACAGAACTCTGGGATTGGGAACAATGCCAAATGTTCAGCTTCCACCTCCACCCTCCACGGCCCTGTTGAAATGTCCTGGGTCATTAATTCTATAGCACCCAACCATAAAATCAACTCCTTCAACTTCTTCCTGTAGCACATGATTGAGACAATGTTGTCTCTAGGAAACCCATTTCAGATGTGTTTTATGTGTTCATCTGTGGGAAGTGGCCTAAGTGGGGGCTAATAGTATAGTTCTTTCAGTATTTTGACCAAACGTATTTTAAGAAAATTGGACCTGAAGCCTATATAGTCAGCTGAGGCGAATTTACAGCCCTGCTTTCAAGAACAAAACTCCCTCAGGCACCTGCTTCCTAAAAGCAAAACCAGAAAGGAAATGAACTCTTGCTTAAAGACAACCCACCTTATTTTATGGGTTATCAATTTTCTAGTTGGCACACAGTTCCCCATCTACTAAGAGGTTTTTGCCCCCCATCTCAAGCAAGTACTGAGCTGCAAAAAAATTGTCAAGTCTGCATTCTAGTAAAGGGCTCAGTTTCCTGAAGATGAGACATGGGACACGAAAGCAAAGTCAGGGGAACAGCAAAGATCTATGATGCAGGCTTACCACGCAGATGTCTTTGCCAATACATGCATTAAAATTGGAGCCTGAATTACATTTTACATTACAGGATTACTGAATCTTGGGCTATGATGGAGAATATATTTCTTGTCTTTGGGGTGGCTCTGTCAGGTGGATAGTCAACAACAATGTAAAACACTTGATTTCCTTTTAACTGCTCTGGTGACCCTGGAACTGAGCTCATCAACCTCTCAAAAATGAGAAAGAACTAAATAGCTTTTTCCCCCTCAATATTGATAAAGTTGGCCTTCTCCATGAAAACAGGCTACAAGATAGGGGTCAAAGGGTAAGAGTAGACACTCTTAGATTCCTGTGTGCTAGAAAACACAATAAATAGATGTGATTTTCTTAGTACACATAGTAGACCGATTAGATAAATATAAGAACCGATCTTTAAAAACTACAAGAAAACTAATAAGCAAGTGAAAAGATGAATAAATCTAACTGCCATATAATGAAGTCAGAATCAAAGGCTTAAAATTATATGCTAGCTTTTTCATAATCTCGGTCTTTTTCCAAGCTTTATTTAGTTGGGAAGGCAAAGAATTTTCAGGAGATATATGAATATTCAATTACATGTTTCAAAATCAGACATTTACACATCCACTTGGGATAAGTGCCAGAGTTAACATCAAAGATATGTGAAGGACCTCTTGTCCAAATGGAACATTAAGCTCCTCAAATAGGAGAATTCAGCCCTTGCAAACTGTCAGTATTTCAGCAAATGAAGCCGGCCCTTTAACAGATGGGCAACATACTTTTCAGCTTGCTGATAGCCTAATAAAAGACAGTGGCTTTTTTTGAAAAATGAAGGACATGTATTTCTCAAATTACACTATCCAAACGGATTGAGCAGAGTAAAACTAAGAAGGCGTACAACAGCCAGATGAAAATTAGGAACAGACTACGGGAACTTGATGGTTATAAATATCAATATCAAAATGACCTTTGCATTCAAAGAAGAAAAAGAAAGAAAGAAACAAACAAAAACAGGTTCATTGTTTTTAAACCACAAGGAAAACGGGCATTGATACAGTCAAAACTGGGAGCAACGGATTATGGAATTATAGGTACTGATGTAATAAAAATGCAAAATTAATTTCTTCTCAAAAATATAATTAAAATTCCCCAGAAAGGCAGGTTGGTTTTATGTCAGCTGTGTTTTCTTTTATACGAGTCGACCTGTGTGTTTCTTAAAGGAAAAGAAAATCTCTCGAGTGGATTGTTTTAATAACCGAATTAAATACAGACCACAGACTCCAACCAAACAGGGCTCCACCCTCCTGCTCACCGTTCCCGCTGCTCTTCTTTCATTCTCTCCGGCTCTTCTTCTCTCAGGTTCCCGGGCTTCAGAGTGCCTTTCTGGTCAGCCTTTCCGCCCTTGTCTTCTTTCTTCTTTCCAAATCTAGTGAGAGACATGGAGATGTTAACAATATTCAGTTGCTTTTGTGGCAAATGTGAGATATATGTGAGATGCGTTTGTTGGGCCATAATTCTTTATTGTAATGAGATCAATTTGCATGTGATGGAGACAAAATAGTGAAAGCAGAAAAATAATATAGTTACTGGATTCCTCTCTTTCTCTCTTTTTTCTTCTTTTAAACTCAGATATTTATTACGCATCAAGTGCAGTATCACGTGATTAAAAGAGAAATCATTTTGAACTATTAATTCAATAGAGTGAAAAACGGAGTGATTATTGTTCATGTATGACTATATATCGACCCGTTTTCTACACAGGCCCCTACAGCACCAACGCCATTATCATTTAAGGTTAAATTCACAGGAGTATATAATGACGGTGCAGCAAGGGACCTCTCTGAACACCTAATTCAGTGAAGAACCGAAAGCTCTGGGGGGTTTTGAACCTCCCCCAGACCTCCTGCTGGCCTGTGACAGAGCTGGGATTAGAGCTTGATTGCCTCCTGCCCCTCTTTCCTTCGGGCCCCTTTCACTCTCTAATGTAGCCCAGGCTTCCCAAGAGGGCTCCAGGGTAGTATGCTTGGTGTCTGGGTAGTTAAACGTGCACAGCAGCAATCATGATGCTTTATAAGAACACAGTGTTTTCTCAGCACGTTTAGGAAAATGGAAACTGCACAGTTGAAATGGAAAACAAAGCTGCAATTAAATTATTAGTAGGAGACACTTGTATGTGACAGGCATTTTCCCCCAATAGATGATGTTTTCTCCAGATGCAATCCCCCACAGTCTTGATACCAACACATGTGAAAAAAGAGAATATCTGATTGCTCTACTAATAATGAGGGTTGGGGGAGATCACTCAATTATGCACTTTCTCCAGTTGAAGATTTTTAAACCTGTGAAAACACCATTTATTTCTTTTTTCTTATTAAATAGGAACAGATTTTAACTCTGTGTATCTGTACATATATAGCTCTAGCCCTATCTATACACCTGTCCATCTGTTCTCCCATCTATCTCTTCCTTCTTGTTTACATTTATCTATCTATCTATCTATCTATCTATCTATCTATCTATCTATCATCTATCATCTATCTACCCATCCTTGTACTTCTGTTTATCTATCTATATCTTCTTTTCTCACTATCTACTTCTCTCTCTCTCTCTCTCTCTCTCTCTCTCTCTCCTCTCTCTCCTGGGAGATTTTAAAATTAGAAGTGTCTGGGCTAACCTTACTCCCCACCTCCTTCTGATACATACATAGGACATTAGAATCTCTTTACATGAGAATCTAACATACATTTTAAAGAAAGTGCTATACTCTAACCAGAATAATAGAAGAATCACAAAACTATCTGTTTCTGTCTTCTTTGGAATCCTAATAAAAGTAGACAGATATTTGTATCTTTCTGGAATGTGCTTGAGTCATAGCAGAGGTTGTTGGTTAACTGATAACCCTGAGCATCACACCTGGAAGATGCCATTGCTAATATTCATAATCCTGCTGTTATCCCAGTACAGATTGCATCCTGCTCTCCCTAGAAGTCTCTCCTGGTCTTGACTCTTTTGCCTGTTTCTCAATTTGCAATTTAAGCTAGCAAGTTCTCTCTCATGAATTTTTCCTCCCACCTACCTCTACTTCTACTGCAGTTCTTCTGCTAGATTCAGTGTAGCCTTGGAACCCACTTCACCAACTATCAGCTCTGACTTCACCCTATGATCTCTAAGTCCTCAGGCATCTTTTTACCTCCTCTTTCTTTTCTTTTCTTTCTTTTTTTTTTTTGCCTCTCTTTCTGAATCCATTTTTTTTGTTTCATTTCACAAAAGCAACAACCTGATATTATTTATAGAAGTAACTAGGGAACAGAGGGAAAATAAAGACCAAAGATATATATCTATAAGAGTGTAAGCTTTCAAGTACATTCAGATCTGCTGATACATTAAAGACACTCCTGAGCCTACAAAGCAGGCGATAACTAAATCTTCGCACAAACACATCCTGTAGCTTTCCAGATTCATGCAGAAGAGTCTTAGGGAACACCATTTTTACTCTAAATACATTTATGGGAGAAAATAGTACTATAGTACATCGCTTAGATAAATAATTCTCTCAAATGCCATTGAATATAATAATATTTGGATAAAAATTCAAAATTGTGGGGAGTCAGAGTAGAAATAATGCCTCAGAGTGTTGATGAGGGCAAAAATGTTACCAAAGCTATAGATATCAGGATACTCCATGTCCTGTATATTTTACTCTAAATTTGGAGGTTTGTGTTTTTTGAGATACAAGTAGCGTTGTTTTTGAAGGATAAAATTTGCCTATTCATACTCTACATTGATCCTTATTGCCATGTCCCATAAACAGTTTTTCCTTCTGGCACCTAAGATATTTCACTTTTACTGCAGTTCAAAAATAGCTTGCCATGCCTCCACCATAGTGAAATGTGTTTGATAAAGAAAATATTAGTTTTAGCCAAGCATGGTGACACACACCTGTAATCCCAGAGAGCAAAGCTGGTAAAAGGAAGCAAACTGATTCTTTCCTCTGATGTCTCTGAAATTGGGGGCTGGGGTTGTAGCTTAGTGGTAGAGTGCTTGCCTAGCACACATGAGACACTGGGTTCCCTCCTCAGCACCTCATTAAAAAGAAAAATGAAATAAAGATATTGTGTGTCCACCCACAACTAAAAAATAAATAAATAAATATATATATATATGGGCTGGGAATGTGGCACAATGGTAAGCGCCCCTGGATTTCAATCCCCAGTACCAAAGGTGGGGGGGCGGGGGGAGAAAGGAATAAAATATTAGTTTTAAGCTGATTCTACAAGTATGGGTTTTCTTTTCTTTCTTTCTTTTTTTTAATCTAGCAAGAACCATCAATAAGTTGGGCTGGGGATGTGGCTCAAGCGGTAGCGCGCTCGCCTGGCATGGGCGGGGCGCTGGGTTCGATCCTCAGCACCACATACAAATAAAATACGGATGTTGTGTCCACCTAAAACTAAAAAATAAATATTAAAAATTTCTCTCTTTCTGCTCTCTCTCTCTTAAAAAAATAAATAAATAAAATAAACCAAAAAATCCTCAACAAAATATTTTTTTTAAAAAAAACCATCATTAAGTCAACAACTTTCAGAAATATTATAAATGTTTTGATTTAAAGTTCATGATCTTTCATTAAATTTTCAATTAATAAGGGCAGAAATTGCTGTAAAATTTATTTTGTTGAAGAGAATGGCTACCAGTTACCTTATTTCTTAAACCTTAGGTAGATTTAAGAACAGAATCATGAAATAATTTTCAAAAGGATTGCCCACTCTGTTAATATGAGGAGAGACCTAGAGAAACTAACTGGGATCTATTTCTGAGTGTACTGACGTGTTTCTCCAATTTTGCAGTCAGAGGACTTTGTCATCGGGGTAGTAGTGGGGAGTGGCAGTTAGGGGCATCAGAGGAAAGAACCAGTTTGCTTCCTTTTACCAGCCTTTGTTTTCCTTTCTTAGCACCCCTTTTGGGGGCCACACCACAGCCATCCTCACTTCCCTGAAATAAAGAAAAGAGACTTGGGGTTCATCTCCCCATTAGCTATTTTTGGGAGAAAAGTTATGGGGACCCTGACTGGCTACAATTACAGCTCTGCCCTCCAGGGTTTCCAATATCCCCTGCATTCCATGCCTCCCATTATCTATTACCTCAGACATTTGAGGGTTGACCACTCTGGGGGAGGTGCCTTAAGGAAATTGCTTATAGGTCAACCTTGCTTTATATAAAAGATATTTTCCTGAAAAACTCTGTGCAAACATATGGTTTCAATCAATAAAATCTTATTTTACATGTACCTGGGTAGCCTGTTTATAGAATCTTACGATAGATCTTCTGGTAAAGTAGAAAAATCACCTTTCAACATATTCTTTATGTAAATTCAGATTTTCATGAATTATAAATATGCTTAAAACACCTGCCCCTGTTGGTTTCTAGAGAGGTTATATAAAACAGCTTCACAGAAAACTTTCCCTCCCTTTTTCCCTCCTTCTTTTTGTTTCCTTCCTCTCTCCCTCTTTTCTTTTCTTTCTTCTTCCTTTCATTTATTCATTTAAAAATATTGATTAGGCATCTTCTATGTGTCAGAGAGTCAGAGGCACTTGGTATAGGTTTGTTTTGGTCAACTTCTTGGCCACTGTGATTAAAGGAACTAACCAGAACAATTTTAGAGGAGGAAAAGTTTACTTGGGGGCTCATGGTTTCAGAGGTCTCAATCCATAGACAGCAGGTGCCTTTCCTTGGGGCTGGAGGTGAGGAGGAACATCGTGGTGGAAGAGTGTGGCAGTGGGAAGCAGCTCACTCGGTGATCAGGAAGCAGAGACTCCACTCCCCAATACAAAATACATACCACATAGCTACTGAACAACCTCCTCCAGACCCATCCCACCTGCCTCTGACCACCACTCAGTTAACCCCATCAGGGATTAATCCACTGATTAGGTTAAGGCTATAACCCAGTGATTTCTCCTCTAAAACTTCTTACATTATTTCACATGAGTTTTGGGGGGATGCCACTTCAAAACCATAAAAAGGTTCATACTGGGTTGAGATGCAAACTACATACTATCTTCATAGAATTTACACTTTAACAGAGCACTCACCAAACAAGCATAAATATAAAACCGCAAATTGTGAAAGTGCTGAGACTATTGTCCTGGGAGAGACAACAATGGAGAATTGATAATAGGGGAAGGCCTCAATAAGGAAAAATAATTTAAACTGAGACTACAAGGGCGAGAGGTTCCAGACAAGCAGGACAGGTGAAAAGCTCATAGGAGGAGGAAGTAGCAAATGGGCTTGGTCTTCCAAGTGGTGAAAGAAGGCCAGGTGGTTATATCCAGGAGAGCAGAGGGGAGACACAGATGGATGGGAAAGTCATGGATTGCAGGTGTGAGAAGCTTGGGGTATAGTTTAAGAGTCATGGTAGATCATTTCTCA